TCAATGTCTATGTAATTTAGATAATAATTATATTCAATGTTCATCAATACCCAAACAATGTCGGACATGTAATCGTTATAATGCAATATTTTTTGATGAAAAAGTTACTATGTTATCACCAGAAACATTTCGTTCTTATAATTTTTTTGATAATAATAATCGAAAGAAATTATTTAAAATTCAATTTATGCAATTAGATATTATTTCATCAAATGCATTTTCAAAAATTGATATTGATAAAGAACGAACTTTAGAAATAAAAATATTAAAATATTCATCATCTGTTTTACCATCAAGAATGTTAGAAGATTTAGCAATACAATCAAAAGCAAGAGTAAATATCGAAATATTCAATGTTACATCGTCAATGTTAACAATAGAACAATATGCATTAGATGGGATAAGATTTAATCATGGAAGTCAATTTCGTTTGTCTATACTTCAAGCAAAAGATACGATTCAATTTGAATCGAATGCTGGTTTGATATTAAAGCAATTTATCTTTTCAATATTTATTAATATTTTCTTTTTATTATAGGATCAATTCTCTTACCACCCTATTCATATATGGAATTATATTTTTCAAATTTTATTCAAATACTTTTTGAAGAACATAGTTTTGATCATATAACTCAAGAACATTCAAGTGAATTAATTCTTAATTTTGATCGTTTTCAATATGCAACACTTTCACACAATGCTTTCTATGATCTTCATCAACTTGATTTATCACGTTTTCATTTTTCATTATCAAATTTTCAAAGTTTAACTATTGAACAAACATTATTTGATACAATAACTCAATGTAAGATTTTCATTTTTATTAAAACTTTAATTCTTATTTTGTTTTAAAGTAAAATCATCATTAATAATATCAATTTATAATATAACAAATGATTTATGTTTACCAAGTAAAACATTTAGTCAAATAAAGCAAGATATGAATTCAACATTTCAATTTGAAATAAATTATGGACAAAATATACTTTTAACATCAAATACATTTATCAATATTAATCAAAAATTACAATCAAAATTAGCTATTAGTATAACAAATTCTTATGATGTTTATTTTTCTCGTTATTCATTGAATAATTTACATCAAGAAGATCAATCATTTATTGATATTTGGATAAGTTATGGACAAAATTTAATATTTGAAGATTATGCAGTTAATAATATTGATATTTATCGATCAAGTATATTAAGAATTGGTTTTCAACATTCAAGAGGAACTTTACAAATGGCTATGAATGCTTTTTCAAATATAAATGAAGGTATTTTCTTGTTTATATCTTACAGATGAATAAATACATATTATATGATCTTACAAGAAATTATTTAATATTCTTACTTGTGTATAATATCGATTATCGCATGTCTTAATACCATGGGGATTATACTAATCGTTTTTTATTATTATTATTAGAAATAACATCATAATCTATTCCGAATAGATGAGTATGACTGAATATGTTCTTAGACCTGAATTTATTTCTATTAATATTAAATATTTTCTTTATATACATCATTACAACCTATGCTCGATAGTTAGTTTTCTCACAAACGATTAGAAAATTTCGTTTTCATTCATCACAGTATCTATATCTGATCGATTACTATTACGATGATGTGAGTTCAGATCGAATAATTCCTATGGTAAAATACAACATCTTCTTTTAAAGAAATGCATTTACCGTCCGTTGAATGAATATAACGATTACATTAAAAATGAGATTCATTGAGTTTCTTAATACTGATAAGAGGATGTATTTTATCTAATCTTATAAAAACAATAGCATGAAAAAATTTGATAAGAGTTTTTTTTACTATTATCTTATTCTCATATATATTATGATAACAATAATGATCAGAAATTGAACTGTATTTTGTTATTCCTTTCAGGATTAAACAAGTTTTATCCATAGAGAATTTCAGTCTTCAATTACTTATGGATGTGACAAATATGTAAAAGATTTTGCAGCCATTTATAATATATGTAGCGAATAGGGTTTGTTTTATTAACGACAAAATACTTGTGAATCATATTTTTAATGGTACTTTCGTATTGAATCAGTCAGAAAACAAAAGATATTCAAAAAAAATTGTTTCATCTATGAATCTTTAAAGAACTCGTTGCAGTGATCATTTTTGAATTTACTAAATAGATAACGATATTAACATCAACATACTAAAAATGATTACCAGCAGTTAGGAATAATCAACACAATCAGTTCTGCAAAGTTTCACATAAAGAAATGCCATGAAAAATACGATTCGTAAGCATTTCATTGTCGATAGAAGGAGTTAATTGATAAGTGCAGCCGAATACAAAAGTCAACGAATTAAAGAACTGATCAGCCCATTGTAGTAGTGGTTTATAACTTCTCATAACTAACACCAGACTGATATATGAGACCTGTTGTGATCATCCTAAAACCTCTCAAGATCTATCCAGGAAAGGTATTTACCAACAAAAACCGAAAAGGATATGTGACCTTACGTCTTCCTACCAGAGTTATGTTTATGTTAGTAGAGTTTTAGTCTGTAACTCGGTATGCATCAACAAATCAAATGACATTATTTTGAGCTGCACTTATAACCAGAATGCTCTGAAAAATGCAGCTCAATACAATGCCATTTGATTGGGAGGTACATACTGAGCTACAAACTAAAATTCTACTAAAATAGCTAAAACTCTGGAAGAAAAGCCTATGAACACATATCATTTTGAACTTTTTCATACCTCATCGAGGTTTATTTATTGGCAAAAGATGGGATCTAAACGACTTGATCACCTTGAGATGTCCTCAGCTGATCCTCGCAAATCTCATATATCAGAGCAGTCAATTCTCAAAAATAAATTGTACGAAAAGATCATATTAGATCCAGACTTGTCGGTCTCCATTTTATTAAAAAACGTTTTACTTTCACAAATTATTTGAATCTTAATTTTTGTTTTTTTTATTATAAATAGGTCAAGGTGGTGAATTACTATTTCAAATAATGAATTCATCTGATTTTTATTTTCGTTTTAATGAATCCATTTCATTAAAACGTTTAGAAATTATCGATCGATCATTATCTTCCAATGATTTATGTCATGTTGCAAATATTCCATCACATATACCAATTAAACTTATATATGATAATCAATGTTCATGTACAGTTTATTATTTATATCGTTATCTTCGTCGTAAACTTCTTCCATCCGCTCTTAATGACTTAACACCATCATGTTATAGAAATATGTCACTTGATGAAATTGAATATGTTGAACATGAATGTTCATTTGATACAAAAATTCATAATTGTCAACAAATGGAAGGTCAAATACAAATCGATATTCCACAAGGAATATGTGAAAATAATTTTAAATTAAATAAAAACAAGAATATTAATAATAATCAATCAGACAAAAAATCATCATTTTCAATTTTTATTTTAATTCTTATTATTATTGGATGTTTAACATTTAGTGTAACTTGTATTTATATAGTTATGTCCAAGAGTAGAAGATTTCCATTATGGGATGCATTTCAAAGATATGTTCATCATTATCGACGACAAAAATTAACGATTTATTCAGCAGATTCTTATCAACAATTAACACATATTGATCAACAGGAACCAACGAATAAACGTAGAAAACTAATTGTTAAATATAATTCAACAACAGATCAAACACAACCTTATTTAGATATGGCTGAACGATCAGATTTTATCGTATCAAATAATAAGGATGATGATGATGATGAAGAACAACAAAATGAAGATCATACATTAAAATTAAATACAAATCCAATGAGTGATATAGAAGATAATCTAGTATAAATTCATTAATTGTTTATTCCATTTCATTTTTTTTTTGTTAAATAAGTCTAATAAACAATCATCAAAAAACGATTGTGAACATGTTAATATTTGTTGAATTTAAAACGAATATTAAAAAAATAGAATAGATTTTCTTATATCTCTTTAATTAAATTTCTTTCAACAAAGGAAAAAAAATGTAAATCATTAGTTTTTGTATTTTATTTTACATTTTTTTTATGTGATAAGTGATTTAACAAAATTGAATAAAATTTGTTATCAAAGCATTATTAATAGAAAAAATATCTTCTCGAAATACAACATAAGAACTTCAGAATCGAAAACTATTGCAGAATAAGATGAATCGAGGTTTTCATTATGATTTTCTTAAGGCATAAATACGATAGTACGAGTCTCGAGACATGAAAGCGTTGTAGGTCTTGTTGGGACAGAATCTTCTCAAAAAGCTTATCAGCGCACCCCCGTTGGGGCTAAAAATGTGGAACTCACGTATGTTCGCATCAAATTATCTGATCACGTTTAAGTGCTTTGTTTTCTTTTTTTGCTCAAATTTAATTAATTTATAGCTATTTTTAGTTACTTTTATTAAATTTACAGCAGTATATAGTGATTTTTCACCATTTTCATTATTTTTATTAAATTTGCAGTAATTTATGACTATTTTTAACTATTTTTGCTTGTTTTTATTAAAATTCTACTAATTTATAGCTGTATTTAACTATTTTGCTTATTTTTTATAGAAAATCCCGCAATTTATAGCTATTTCTAACGCTTTTTCATAATTTTCATTAGAATTTTAACAGCTTATAGCTATTCTTAATGATTTTTGCTTATTTTTATTGTATCTGGGGGGGGGGGGGGGGGGGGGGGGGGAGCTGAAAAACTTGAACTTACACTCACGATTTTCTTCTAAAATCTACGTGAGTTCCACAAAACCAAAAATTTTCTCCCCCGCCCTCAAGATTCTGCATCTCTGTGTCAGACCCTGAACGTTGTACAAAGGCTAAAGATTTATTCATTTGTATTGCATTATTATAAATAAGAAAATGAAATTGTCTATTATATGTGTAGATTACAATTTCAATTAAAGACAACTTTTTATATTTCAATTTTTCTTCAATTTTACATATTTCGCCAATTAGAAATGCGTGTATATTTATTCTTCGTTTTGCTCGAATAATTTTCAATTTACTCATATTTAAATAACTCTTTTAAATTTGGCAAATTTTCCATTTTCGACAATACGAAAGATGAGCTTGTATTATTCTTCATTGCGACAGTCTACTGATCAGAGTTATTCATTTAAGCTAAATTTTATTCCATTGAATTAATCGATAGATAAAAATAGAAGACGCTATGAACGATGATTCATCTCATACATCTCATTCGACGTTCTTTGTCTATTCGGCCGTAATATAAACAATTAGCGTGCCGAATCGAATTGTCATACATTCATAGGGAAAAAAAAATTACGTATGCGACATTCGTTCTTTTGAAAGTATGTATAAACAATGTATGCTTCAATTATAAACGCGTTTTTTTTTCTTTAATAAAACTCAAATTTTAGGCAAATAAAAATATGGCTGCACTTGGTCATTGTGAAGATCCAGCTTGTATAAAAAAACCACCCACACATGGATTAGTTCGTATATTTCGTTGTTCATTACATTGTAATCGTAATTTATGTTTATCCCATTTAAATGATCATAATGTTTCTTATGAAAAAGAAAAAAATCAAAATGATACAATTAAACGTGAATTAGAAGGTTCATTAAAATTATATCAAACATTATTTGAACAACAAATTGCGACTTATGATAAACTTGTCTGTCAAGCAACAACAATATTATCTCATAATTTATCAACACTTATTCCAACTGAACAAATACGTAATGTTTTGTTTAATGTTCGACAAGCAATAACATTGTATCAACAAAAACTAAGTATGATTATCATTAGAAAAGGAAAACAACGATTGTTTATCAAGATATTTTTTGTCTTTATTTAGTTTTTAAAAAAGAAACTGAAACAATTGATTCTTTAGTTAAAATTAAAAATGAGGAAAATAGAAAAATGGTTACACCTGATGATGATGATGATAATGTTCTTTCATTACAAGAGGATACTGATAATGATGTTACGATTACACTTAATGATCCACCTCTTAATGTTCGTTCTAAAAATATTAATGTAAATACTCGTGTTCATACGAAAAGTACTGACGATTGTGAAAGTTTTACTATTCGTATACCACTACTTGAACATATAGGTACGAACTCAACGAGTGAAATTGTACACAGTCAAGAACAACTAGCAGCAGAAGCTTATGCAAAAAAACGATCAACGGAAGGTGCAAAATCACGAGTAAATAAAGAAATCTTTTTTTTTTGGTTGTTTTTAATCGAAGTTTTTTTCTATTTTAGGGAAAAGTACTTAAACGAATACAAAAATAACAATGACTTTCTCATTAGACTTATTTAGTTTTTGTTCTGTTGTTTGCAGATATTTAATAAAATTTATTTCAAATTATAATATGCTTTTTTAATTGTATCGAGAAAATGATGATGTTCAATAACTTCACCAGCTATTTCTGTATCAGTACCAATCGTATGAATTCTTTGAGCGAGTTTATCGATTAATTGATTCAATGATTGTTTGAATTTCGGTGCAGTTTGTTGTATTTTATAACGAAAATTTTCACTATCATTATGGGATGTACGTTGAAGATCAATTGCTAGAATTATACAGGCAACAAGTAGAGTACAGTAAGAAATCTTCGGTTGGATTGATAGAACTTTTTTCATAGGGACAATGAAAGAAAAATCCATGTAGATAATTTTCAATTGTTATCTGAGAGAATGTCAAGACGAGATGAACATAAACTTTTTGTGTGGTACCATACTGATGTACATCGAGGATTTTAGTTGTCGATATGAATTTCAGCAGGTAGACTAACTAGTTTTGTAACTTTCATATATAACGTCTATTTTCATTTGATCTTGTCAGTCTCTCAGATAACAATTGAAAATTATCTACATGAATTTTTCTTTCATTGCCAATATGAGAATAGTTCTATCAATAACTAAAGAATCAGACCATTCAATGAAAACAAAGCGAATATTTTACCATCCATATGAACTTTTCCTCCACTTTTGATTAATCCAGTACCAACTAAATACTCCGTATTATCAACAGTATCTCCAATAACATCACCAATAGTATGAAAACTCGTTCGAATCATTGTACCAGTGATATGTCCCATTTTGATAACATTTTCACCTAACCAATTGAGAATAGAACTTAATCCATCTCCAATTTTACCATAACCATATTGAAAGTTTTCATAAACAGTACCCGTTCTATTAGCTAAAGAATTTTTATAGAAATAAGTTGCTTTTTCTGTTAGTGTATCTTTATTCTGTTCTAATTGTGTACCCATATTAGATAACTCTATATTTGAAGGAAACAAAAAAAATCAATTTTTAATGTAAATAAAAATTTACATGCGAACATACTATGCCCAAGAATTTCATAACCACGTCCAATTTGAGTTTCTAACGTGTCAATAATTTTATTTGAAAAACTGGGCGTTACAGATGAATTTTCTTCTACCGGCACATCAAATACAGCTATTTGTTTTCGAAAGTTTTCTTGATGTCGAATTTCTGCTTTTATCATTATGAATAATACAAGAATGTTTATATATAATACAGAAATCATTAATGATATTCGCGATTATCATATGAAAAAAAAA